CTGGGCCCTGGAGGACAGTCGTGAGCAGGGCTCTGACATCAGGTGGTGCTGAGTGCCGTGCAGAGAAACAAGAGGTGAAATGGGTCTGTTTCTATGTTTCCTCCTTAGCAAAGGCAGTGTGTGCCGGAGGGGGGTGGGGAGGCCTCGGAGACAGGCACATCCGGAGAGGCCTGAGTGGATGAGGGAGTAGGTGCGGTGGACCTCTGGGGACACCCTGGGAAAGCACGAGGCCCAGGAAGAGCAGGTGAGGCCTACAGAGGTGCCCCAGTCTTGGCAGGAGAGCTTCCAAGGCGAGGGGAGGGAAAGAGGGAGTATCTGGTGTCCTGCCCTGGCACTGTCTCTTACTTAACAGAGTCGGTTGTGTCCCTCTGATGCAGGTGGTGGCAGAAAGTCTGACAGTTACCTTTCTCACCAGACTGGCCAACCACTTGCCCTTGTCCCCATGCCTGTCTCCAGCTCCACCCCTCATGCAGCCGCCCAGGCTCCTGCCTGTTCTGAGGGCCCCCGTTGAATGCTGCCCCCCTTTCTGACGCTCTCCCTTCCCCTGCTGCCCAATTCACAACCTCGGGAGTGTTGCGATCTGGGCCCTGGGGTTGTGGAACCTGCTGTTGATCAGGCAGTGCCAAGAATCGGGGCAGAGAAGCGATAGCCAGGCGGGAGCTGTGACCTGGCCTTATTCTGGTGCTGGAACACAGTGGGCAGAATGGCCTGGAACCGCGTAGGGACTGCGTGTGTGTCCTTAGCTCTGTGCTGAGCCCTCAGCTTCCTGGCCAATAAATACCTGGTGGACCAGTGAACTTGCGTTTGAGTTGCACATATGAGGATCTATAAAGAACAGAAGTATTAGGAAAATCCAGACATTTTAGAACCTGGCAGGTTGGTGGATGGAGCAACTTGGTTATTTGTAGCCCATCCTTCTGATGGACTCATAGGCTGTGTAATGCATTTCAACAGTGTTTGCAAGAGAAGGGGAATTCTCTGCTTTTTAAATGTTTTTCTCTGTGAGATGGAAAATTCTGTAGTGCATTCCAGGTTGTTTTGGGCAAAATATTTTGTAATTGTAGCTGTCTCTTCTCTCCTTTCGGTAGATAAACATGTAATTTATTAAGAATGAGACCAGCACTGCTTACTTGTGTCTTTCTTATTTTTAAAGGTTCATATCTGTTTTAATTTTCTGTCCAGAAAGATGGCATTCGGATGGGATTGTTTATCCCAAACCCGCCTGGCTCGGACAAGAGCTGTTGGCCAGGCTGGCCAGGTGGTGTGTGGAGAGCAGGAGGAGTGGGTTTAAAAGCACCCTGTCCCTCATCCCGATCCTGAAGTACAGCCGGGCCTACCAGGCTCTCAAAGAGAAGTACAGAGACATGGTCAAGGTAATTCCGGGGAGGCCGTCTGTCACCCTCACTTAAATGAGGTCATATGACCAGGCTGCACAGGTGGAACTGTTTTCCTGTACTTCCTAGTTTTCCACAGGTGCAGACACTAAGAGCGCATCCAGCTGAGCCATGTGCGCACTGGGCCTTGATGCGCGTGCTTAGGGATGCAGACCATGAAAACATGTGCAAAAAAAAATAATTCTTTCCCATGACACAGCTGCCCATCACTAAGTTTTTCAAGAGAACAAGGGAAATACTTAATTTAAAATAATTGAACGTTAAGTTACTAAATTACCCTAATTTTTTGGTATAAACTTAAAGAGAGTTTAAGAAAACACAAAGTTGAAGGATAAAAAAGTATATACTTACAAAAAGGAGAAATGTTATAGCATGTCTTTAACCTTATATTTAAGATGCAGAAAGAAGGTAACAGCAAACACATGTGTTTATACCCAGCTTAAGAAATAAAAGCCTAATTAACGCAGCCGAACCTCCTTTTACTCTTCCTAGTTCACATCTCCCTCCCTCCTGAAGTAGCCACGACTTACCATTTCCATGTATTTTATTTGATCAGTTACTATTGCTGTGTAACAAAGCACCCTAAAGTCACAGGCTTGGGATAGTAACCCTTCCTTCCTGCTGAAGCCTGTGTAGGATCCCAGATCCCAGCCAAGTAGTCCTTGGTTATCTCATTAGCTCTTCAGTACCTTCAAGAAGGGACTTCCATGTTCTTCCAGCTCTTAGAATTGCCCTTAGTGGGATGGTTCATCTGAACTGTCGGATCCACTCCGACTGGAACAGAAATCTGAACATTTAGCATCGGTCATGGTTTTCCCTCTTCTGCCAGAAACCCATTCTATGCCTTGATAATGTTAATTGTGAAACCCCACCCTTGCAGATCCAGTGGTCATCCCATGTGGTAGTTAGGACTTTATTCCTGCTTTACAGACGGGGGCACAGGGACAAAGCTGAGGGGTCCACCAGTCACTGCAGTGGGAAGGCCCGAGCGCTGGTCCCCTGACCCTGCTCGTTCCCCATCCACCCTTGCTTTCTGTTGGTCATGCTCACCAGATAAGTGACCAGGCGGGTATAGCTGAGTGTTTCCTGTGGTGTCCAGTTGCATTACCTAAACAGCTACATACATTGTCTTTATGAGAAAGTCTTGCCTCGGGTCGCACTGCTCCTGACGTGTCCTGTTACACAGATCTTTATACAATGAGATTTGTCTTTATACAAGTCTCTTACTGCAAGAGACTGAATGTCTGCCTTTGGAACAAGTTTATTTTTTTAAAAAGTTTATTGCATCATTAGTCCAGTGTGACTTGAGCCTTATGGATACTTTAATATTGAGACGTGATTGCAGGTAGGAGAATAAACCATATTCTCTGAACGATCTTTTAGGTGTGGCCTGAAGTGACTGATCCTGAAAAGTTTGTGTATGAAGACGTGGCTATTGCTGCCTACCTGCTGGTAAGAACGCACCTAATCCAAGCCTGTGTGGACCCGGAGGGAGGGGGCCGCTGGCAGGTGCTGCCCACAGCGAACAGCATTTGTCAAATACCAATCTTAGGGTGCTTCCACTTCTGTGTGCCGAGGCTGGTTACACAGGTGGGCAACCTAACTAGGAATTCAAGCTGAACCGGCACTTCATAGGTACTAGTTGGCTTGCAGATGCTGGCGGGCACGTAGGAGCCCCTGACAGGAGCTGTCTGGAGGACATGCCTTCCAGCTCAGCCTTCGGGGCCCTAACTGTGGATCGTTCCTTAGCCAATTTGCCTACCACCTGCCTTTGGACATGCCCTGAAACTCACTAGTCTTGATTTTATTTTTTTTAACCTATAAAATGTTTAGGCGTGTTCTAGTATCCTCTCAACGGGAGTTGTCTTTATGGAAAGAGCATGATTTTGTTTTATCAGTGTGTACAAACCTTGAAGAATTAAAGAAAGCATGAAGGAGCTAATCTCGAACTGCTCCCCAGAGATGACCCCTTTAATGTGGAGTCTCGCTGACAGGCCCCACTGCCCCACGCAGTGTCGGGCAGGAGTGGGGCCCATTCACCAGCCCTGCCCACTTGCACATCACCTGTGTGGCAGCCCAGGACCTTGGGCCTCCCCATCTGTTCTGAGGGCATGAGTTCGAGTTCCACGTGGGTCTTATCTGAGTTACTCTGGGTTAGAGTGAATTATAGACTCTTTTGTTTTTCCTATTAGGTTTTATGGGAAGAAGAGAGAGCCACGCAGGGTGTGGCAGCCAAGCAGTCCTTTGTGGACTTAGGGTGCGGAAACGGTCTCCTGGTGCACATCCTGAGCAGCGAGGGGGTAAGGCTGGTTCAAGGCGTTTCCAGGACCGTTTTTAGAGTGACTTCACATCTAGCACAGGGTCACAGATCTTTCCCGCTGGTGCGACCTGGATTTGGAGTCAGCTTGGCTGTGAGAGTGGTGACCAGGGTCTCTGCTACTGTGCAGAGTGGGCCGTTTGTGCAGCAGGAAGGTAGTGTCCTTAGACTAGAGTTGTTCTCAGGCATGTGCCAGGTGCGCCTAGGAAACCATAGGTTTCAGCAGCATGTGGGTTTTGCTGTTAGGTTTTCTTTGGAAAACCCACCATTTCAAGGCGCTGGAGGGAGGAAAGGGGAAGGTGGGTTCTGCCTCAAGAAGCTGAGTCCTAGCTCAGAGGACAGTCCCGTGCACCCAGGCCGCTGTGACACTGCGATGTTAGCGTTTGCAGCCACTGTCGGTTAGTGAGGCCGAGGCAGTGAGTGCTTAGGACAGCTCCTGGCACAGGGCCACCTGGAGCTCCCGCCACCATCTCGGCCTTCCTGGCCAGTCCAGTGCACTACCATGGTCACCTGGCCCAGCTGACGGGTTCAGTGACTTCACACTCAAGGGGAACAGCTGGGATTTGAAACCCAGTGGTGACCCCAGGACTGATTTCTTTTTCAGCTGTGGTCTCTGCCTTACGGTTCAGACATGTTTGTCCTCACTGTGGGAACTTGGAGCAGGCTTGTCACAATGTGCTTTGGAATTGCTTTACAAGAAAGTAATTTGTAACCCCTATAAACAGGTTGTCTGGGTGTTAGCATATTTAGGTGTTGACTTGGAAGCGGCTGGGTGGAGACAGCAGGGGTGGGGGTCATGAAATGGATAGTTACCCTGTGAGAGCTTGAGTGTGGTCACTATGTGCCTGGTAAGAACCCACCTGGGAGGACGGCTCATTAGGGTGGGTGAGCTGGAGGAGCCCAGCCTGCTGTATGAACTGGACGGAGAGCCCAGAGGGCAGCTCCCTTTCTAGGCCTCTCTCCTGGGCTCAGCCAGAGGGGTTCCAGCGCCTCCACTTGGCATCTTCTTGGCGAAAACCAACGACCACTAGCGGAGTGCAGGTTCCTGTCTTTGCCTTCAGGGCATGTCGCATCCAGCAGTGCCACAGGCCTCCTGTACTCTATGCTGATGGCAGTACCTGCGACTTTAATTTGTCCTTGTAATTTATTATAAGTGCACTTAACCTTCGTCTCTGAAATTGTTTCAGCATCCAGGCAGAGGGATCGATGTTCGCAGAAGGAAGATCTGGGATGTGTATGGGCCACAGACTCGCTTAGAGGTACCGACTCTCTTCATTCTCCTCCTCTCCCAGGGTTGTGCCTCGTGACTGTGGTTCCCACGAGTATATTTCTGTTGTAGGCCAATTGAATGCCCACCCAAACCATTCACATTAATCCGAGTAGCCTGAGGTTTGGAAAAAGGATGAACCTGTAGGCTTCCCGAAGCCTCGTGTTAGGTTGAAGAAAGGACGCTGACTTCTGGAGCCGGAGCTGTGTCCCCTCCGTTGGGTCTGCCGCGGGGGACTCTGCATCTTCTGTGGGTGCTGGGTGCTACCTGGGGGTGGAGGGCCGGCTGGTGAATGAGATGAGGGTGGTTGAAATGAGACTGGGCTGGGATGTGGTGGTCGGTCGGGCAGACGTAGGGCTGCTGAGTCCTCTAGTATCCTGGTCTCAGCCCATGACCGTGGGCTGGAGTGTTCCCAGGTCACTCGGTCCTAAGAGCCACTTGTGCTGGTGCCCATCAAAGAAAGAGCACCATCTCCCTGAGGGTGGAGGTGACCAGTCACTGCCTCAGCAAGCCTGCTGCCGAGTGTTCATGACTGTGGGTCCCTAGTCCAGGCCTCCAAGCCGGCTGGGGAGCACTGCAGTAGGGACCATATCCTTTCTCTGGGGCGCGTGGGCACAGCTGTCTGTCCACCCAGTTCCTGTCGCTCAGCAGCCCGGATGATCTCAAGACCCCTGATCCTGGAGTTAAGTGCCTGGGTGTGTCTGGGACCTGGGTTCTCACCCACCAAGGGCACAGTGCTGATTTGAAACATGAAAAGAACGTTTACTTCTCATGGTGGAGAGTTGTCAGGAATACAGCTACATGCTGCCTGACGATGTCCTGGCCAGCCATGGTCCCGTCAGGTTGTAATGGGGCTGGAAGTTCCTGTTGGCTGGTGACGTAGCTCATAACAGCGTAGCACAGCTCGTTTGTTACTCGCGTGTGGTGATGCTGTGTAGCCAAGCCCACTGCACTGTGGCCGCGTGAAAGCCCAGCATGTGTGGTTGCGTGCCCTGTGTAACATGAGATCACGGTGGTGACAGCTGTGCTGGCTTATGTACTGAATGTACGTCTCAGTGCTAGTCCAGTTGCTGCACAGCGGTAGTCATGTTGCTTCAGCAGCTTCATCCATTCCATGTTCACCGTGTCTCAGTGTCACCATTTTCTCCTGTGCCTGGTTTGATCTCGCTGGTTTGCAGTAGCCTCACTGATGTTTTGAACCTGATTTCAGGCATATCCTTTCACCTGTGTTTTCTCTGCCTCACTTTCTTTTAAAAGCTGAGGGTAATATTGCAGAGACTTAAAGACTGAATGAAGCTCATTGCAGCTGCCTGACAGCTCTAGCTTATTTTTTCACTGTGTGTTTGCTTACGTAGTTGTACTTTATAGCAAATTAAAGCATTCTAAGCTCTCCTGTCTGCAAGGTGTCTGACAGGAGGCTGCACATATGCACACAGACTGTAGAGTCTTCCACAGTGAATGAAGTCAGGCTCTGATTTAGGCACGAGGCCAACGGGCAAAGCTAGAGGCGTAATATGGCTGGGTTCAAAATTCCCTGTGTCCACAGGCAGAGCAGAACCCTGTCTTTGGGTCCGAGGGGCAGACAGCAGTTCAGCAGGCCCTTGGTTCAAGTCATGCCCCAGAGGAGGAGCTGGCAGCACAGGGAGCTCTTGGAGAAGGTCGGAAGTTCTAGTCCTGTACTTCAGGTCCTCAGCAACCTGCCTCAGACTTCTGTGCACTGGGGGACTCTCTCCAGCGCCGAGTCGGGGTCTGCTAAGGGACAGGCTCCCTGTGGCCTGGTCTCGTGTATTTTCTCTCATTACACCTGACTGCCATCTTAGTGCTGGGTGAGTCCTGCTTGTTCTCGTGTGAAATGTGAAGGGAGAAGCCGAGGTCCCATCTCTGATGTCTTCTGCTTTAGAAGATCGTGGCCAGAAATGAGAGTGCTTGTGTTGGCGCGTGCACGGGCGTGTTGTCTAGTAAGGCACGTCCACGAAGGGGCCCAGCCTGGACATTCAAAGACCAAGCGTGGAGCGCAGCTTCACTCTTTCAAAATCCTCACTTTATTATGAGCAAGAGACTGGTAACACCTTGCTGAGCAGCTATTTCAAGCCAGAACTCACCCGTGCGGCAGCTGATTTTCCGCACTTGAATGTTAAATGAAAGCATCTGGATAAACTTAACTGTACTTTATTTTGTCACAGCTTGTATTTCCATACATCAAAGTTACACATAGTGTATATGTTCTAATATTAATATTTAGGTTTTTTCTTTTTTAAAAAACAGTATAAAGCGCTCGTTTTAAAACTCCGCATTGCTTTCAGACCTTAAAATTACTTAATGTAAGTGCAGACGAGTTGCCCCGTGACCTGTCAGCCAGGTTGAGAAGACACACCTGTCTTTAGTAACAGCATTGTGAGGATCACAGTGTTAATTTGTTAGTGAAGCTCAGCATGAAGTAGGGGTATTGCAATCTGCTAGACTCAGAATGTCAGTTGAAATCTTTATAAACTGGTGGGTTTTGTGGTCTAGTGTGCTGTTGGCAAGACAACTAAATATTGTGATTATGGTAACTGCTGAGTGTAAATGTGTTTTTTTTAAAAATCGATTTTAGAGAGAGGCACATCAATTTGTGTTCCATTTATTTATGCATCATTGGTTGCTGCTTGTATGTGCCCTGACTGGGGATCGAACCTGCAACCTTGGCACATCGTGACGGCACCATAACCAACGGAGCTACCCAGCCAGGGCTAAATGATTTTTTTAATGGCAGCCATTTAAAGAGACATTTAAATCTAGAATGGAAAGGAAAAACTAGAATGGGTGTGAATAAAGAATAACAGCAAAGTTTTGTTTTTCCTACTTGTAAGTTACGTACATACCTGCTGAGCAAGACTGTTTACATTTTAATGTATGTAAATAGCATATGTGCTTATTTAAGAAGCAGGAACATTGTGGACTTTAAATCCTGTTTTTATACATAATATGCCTGCAAGACTCTTGTATTGAAGTTTTACTGTAAGTGGCTGCCTTGAAAACAAGCGAGTGGTGTTATAGGTCTGGATTATTTTGATGGAGAAGTAACATTTCTGCTTATTTCCCTGGGGATTCATTCTTCAGCCTCAATTAAGAGTATTTTGAGTCGTTACATAGTGTCCCTTCTCTTTCCTGTTTTGACTGACAGGCTCACTTTTGAGACTATTCATTTTGGTAACTAACGATGGTCTGTTATTTAGCAGAAAGGCCCCTGTTGAAAGTCCTTAAATTGTAAAAGCAAACGGCCTCCAGCTTGACTTCAGACATGACCAGGGTGGTTAACATGCCTGCTCAGTGGGTTGTCACAAAAGATCATAGCATAAAGCAGAAGTTCGAGGCTGTTGTTATGCACGTACGTCAGCTTAGCCTGGCTGCTTTGCACTTGTCCCCTCAGGAGGCCACTCCTCCCCACATTCTGCCATAGGGGAGATGGCTTGTCGCCTCTCCCCCCGCACCCCCAGCACCTTTTATGTTTGTGTGAAAGCAGCTCATTTTTAATTATCAAAAGATTCGCTCTTAGAAAAGTAGTTTGTTTCTGTAGTGAGGACACTAGAAGTTGCCAGTATTTGGTGACTTTGGGGCAGACAGCAGACAGGTACGTCAGTTCCTCTCTCCTGGTCCTGGTTTCACCTTTCACCCAGGAGCCCGGAGCGCAGAGACCCTGCCGAGCAAGGCTGTGGTTCTTCTTTGGTTCGGCAGGGCCTCTGGCCGCCTGCTGCGTGCTTCCCCTCGGCAGCTCTGCGTTTACTGACTAAGCCTCAGTCTTGTTTCTGTGTTTCTGTCAGGAAGCTGCAATCACACCAGGTGATCAGACCCTCTTCCCTGACGTGGACTGGGTAATCGGGAACCATTCCGATGAGCTGACACCATGGATACCTGTCATCGCAGCCAGGTGAGCGGAGAAGTTGGCAGGGTGGATGGTGGGGGGGGTGTTTGGTGCCTGAGCCTTGCTGTGCAAAACAGGAGCCACTAGTGCATATGCAGCTACTTCAACTCGAAATGTAATATAGTGAATATATTGGATTAAATGTAAAATTTCATCTATTTTACTATTTGAAATATGAACCCTAGGAAAAATGTACGTGGTTCACGCTCTATTTCTGTTGGACAGTGCCAATTGAAACGGGCTACTTTCTATATCCAGTGGTACAAGATGTATCTTTTTTGGAAGTGGTGGGGTGTTTTGTTTTTTGGGGGGGGGGTTGATGATAGAAGGGCTTATCTTCAAAGGAAAAGTCTGTCAAGATCAAAGCAGTTTGCAGCACGATATTTGTGTCTCAGATAGTCGTGTGTGTCCATCGGGGCTCATGCCTCTGTACCAGAGACAACCTTATGAAGGCACCGGTCTCCTGCTGCCCCAGAAGATTGTTGCCAAGTCTCCTTTCTCCAGGCTTCCTGTGAGCCGTTCCACTCTCAAGGAATCACAGGGCATGGAGCCAACCATAGCCGCCTCTGCGCTGCCTTGATTTCTGATCCCCACTGAGACCTCAGTGCTGCGGAAAGTGAGACTGCAGTCGACAGGAGCAGCTGAGACGGGAAAATGTTTTGTGTGAAAGTCGCTAGCTGTGTCTTTCACTGGAGAGAGACACAGTGCCGCGTTGTTTCTGGATGTTAAGTTGGGGAGGGCTGTGTTTCACATGTAAACAAAGCGGTGTTTCCTGACCCACAACTGCTAGTGGCTCTGCTGGGTTTTCTGTAAAGAATCTGCTGAAGCCTCTGCTTTCTGTGCTCCGGGTGTTTTGAAGGTCTTCCTACCGCTGCCGTTTCTTCGTCCTTCCCTGCTGCTTCTTCGACTTCGTGGGGCGATACCGCCGGAGGCAGAGCGAGAAGACTCAGTACCGGGGCTACCTGGATTTCATCCAGGAGGTGGGGTCGACCTGCGGCTTCCGCGTGGAGGAGGACTGCCTGAGGATCCCTTCCACCAAGCGAGTGCGTCCCGTCCCCAGGGGGTGCTTGGGGATGGCGTGGTGGCCTTTAGGTGGGAGGCTTGGGGCCGTGTCACAGACCATAACAGACTCTGGTGTTGGGAAGGTGAATGTTCCCAAAGGCGCCTGTGCCGACCTCACGTCTCTGTCACTGCTGGGATTTGGGGCTTCTCCTGCGCTCCTCCTCCAGGATGTCCTGGACCTCCTCTAGGCCAACCAGGGGACTTCCCTGGGCAGCTATCGGCTTGACCTGTTGCAGAGATCTGTTGATCTCTGTAGTGTTGTCTGAGGCTGAACACAACAAGTTCCGAGTCCTGGATTTGCAAATATTTGGCAGAATTAAAGGCTGTTTGGAGGCTCAGAACAGTTTAACATATTCTCATGAATTCAGATTCACCTGAAATGTAATTGGCCAGGACGCCTTCCCTGTGACTACCAGGTGGTCAGGGAGGTGTATTCCTGGAGGGCGTCCACCAGCTGGCAGGAGGGGCCCACGGCTGGCTCGTTACTCGTTGCTATCGGTGCTCACTGCTCAGGATCATCCTGAGATTTCTGAAGGGCTCGTCCCCAGAGCCTTCTCATTGTCCTCTTACTCGCTCTCTGGTTTGGCAAGTCAGAGTCTTCCAAGGTTGGAACCAATTTTCGGAAACTGCTAAAGTTCGGGTCATGTAGGTGAGCACGGGGGTCCCACGGTGCATTTTTTTTGTGTTACTTGTTCCTTTGCTACTTGTAGGCACTTGGACTATTCCCTAATGTCTCTGAGCCTTGGCTTCCTTGTGACTGGGTGGTTCGGGGTCAGATGCAGGCGTGGATGTCCACACACAGTGGACTGATTCTGCTCCAGGCATGCTCTTTCCCCACAGAGGGAAGTACCTGCCCTCAGTCACACGTGTTGCAGGTGCTGGAGCTGTGAGGGTGGCACTGATGTCACATCTGTTCTTTCCTGATCTGTCACCCCGGTTTTTAGTTGGTGCCCAAGGAGCAAGTGCAGATAGGCTGTGCTGGGCAGTGTCCCTGGATGGCCTCACTCCAGGGGCTCCTGAGGACGGCCTTTGTGTGCACACGTGAAGGAGGGAGGAGCACAGGCTGAGCATCCACCCCTTACCCAGTGCTCTGTAGGTCGCACGCCTTCCCTTGTTCTGGTGAGGCCAGTACAAAGGCTGCTCCTTCAGTCACCCCTGGAAAGCTCGTAGGGTGACAGCAGGGTGAGTGTGGGGTGAGTGAGGGCTGGCAGGAGTGGAGTGTCTGGGACAGGGCACTGTTGGGCTCAGGGAAGTGAGTGTGCACAGATGTCCGTTCCATCCCTACACAGGTCTCAGTGGTTTCCTGGGCGGCTGCTGCTGTTCGCTATAAGGTCTTTGGAGCTGATACTAGTTTTTAAAGGGTTTCTTTCACGATAGATGAGGCTTTTTTGTAACCTGTCCTCTAGATGGAATTCTGTGGAGGGCACTGAAGCGCTGGAGAAGCTGACCCTACTTTTTCCGTGCAGGTTTGTCTCATCGGGAGATCTAGAACCTACCCTCCCACTGCAGAAGTATCCGTTGATGCACAGAGGACCCAGTACATCAGCCGGCGGGGCTGCCCTGGGGGCCCACCTGTGGAGGGGCCCTCC